GGAAAGAGTTTCACCATGGAACAAGGAAGGTAGTGCTCCTGTCAGCCTCGCCTGACTGAATTGTGTGATGGAGGGAGCTTGGTTTGTTCTACACAGTACGTCTCCAATACTGGGATTTAAGGAGTAATGGGATAATTGTAACGTAAACTTCTTGTGAGCCAAGTACTCAGATATGGCAAATCTTTTTCACTGAAAGAGGACTCAATTTACACAATGTGATGGTGATGCACAGTGTTTCATGAGGGGTTTATTGAGAAATTAATGTAATGCTAGAATCCAAGGCCAAGTTCATCTTTCTTGCTTCATCCCAGGTGCCAGCAAATTTGTGAAGTAACATGCTGTGTCTCCCATTTGCATTTAGGAGCATTCTGGAAGAGTCTTTCGGCTTCAGTTTGATGAGTTCCAGATCGTCAGCAGCTCACATGATGATACCATCCTCATCTGGGATTTTCTGAATGACCCAGCCGCCCAAGCAGAATCCACTCGTTCCCCGTCCAGAACATACACCTACATCTCAAGATAAATAACACTACACTGTACCTCACACTCGCACAGGTAACAGAGGCTCAAAGGTGGCACTGGATGTAGTGCGAGCATGCTGCTTGAATAACTAGCTGAGTCTATCAATATTTCTCATCTTGGTTGGACAGTAATTACAGTGTCCTGTAAAAGAACAGGAGTGATTTTGAAACCTTAGAATAGGGACTTTATTTTAGGATCTGTGGCATGTGGTGCCTGTGAGTTCGCCTGAAGAACTCCTCCTCCTCTGCCCATCATCATCAATAATTAAATCAGCTATCGCTGCTGTCCAGAAGGAAGAAGGGTTTCTGCAGAGTGAGTAGAGCAGCTGCTGCCTAACAAGGGGATGCAGATGGCATGACCCTGGGCAGTTGTCGCCAGGCAGGAGGGTTTTGCTAAGAAGCATCAGCTTTATTCCCTCCCTCTGAAGTGGTGACCATTTTTCTCACTCTGCAGCAAGCTGATTCAGGAGAACAGTTTGGCTGGGGGAGGAGACACTGAGGCACAAGCCCAGGCAAATTTAATCGAGATGCATCAATGTGCAAAATCATTTATTCATAGGGCCTAGTCCTAGATCTCTCTGGCATAGCACGGCTGTTAAATTGTTCATATCAGAGCTGCTGGTTTGCTCATTGCCTTACCCTTTTGTCTTGACCTGCACAGTGTGGGGAGGACATAATGTTTAATACGTTTGAGTCAGTTTTAGAGTGGATTTGATGTATGTGAGTGGAGTGGGATAGCATGATTGCCCACTTTGGTGGGTACATGCACAATTGCTGTTAATAGCTTAAGAAAAATGGCAGAAGAGTTGACACGGGGTGTCCATAATGACATTTTCCCTTGAAAATGCTCTGTCATGGGGCACATCCTGTATCATGTTTGATTGGTAAATGTACAGTGATGCTCCAAGAGCTGTCAGATCAGCTGTCTTGATTTTCTTAAACACTCTGATCAATCAGTTGTTCTTTTAAGTCATTAAAAGGTTTAGTGCGAATGGGCTTTGTTTGGTTTGTTCTGTTTTTCATTCCCAGGACTCATTTAAGCTGCAGTATTTAAATGCCAGGACAAAAGAACTATCCACGTAACCAATACTTGCTGAAGAGAGAGGCTCTCAGACTTGTTTCTGGAACAAAGTTGGCATGCGGTTGATCTCAGACAGGGTCTACTCAGCGTGGCTGACTGCTAAAGTGCTGCTATATCAGAAGATGTCTTTTATCTTTCATGAACAGTTAACATTTTTAAACCTTCCCATCCTTTCCTCCCCCATCCCGCACTTCCTATTCACTCCTCTTCCCTTTACCCTGTTTGGTTCCCCTCCAAACCCAGTCACAGATGTCCTATGAATATATTTAAGATGTTGCCAGAATGTGTTGCTTTGCTGTTAAGCAGAAGACTTTACAGCCACAGTGCATCCTGCTGAGAAAGTCACTTCAGGGTGGGTGGGAGGGTGGGTAGGGAGAAGGCTGCTACTCTCAGACTGAAATCAATATCCATTGCTAGGCCTTTGAAAAAGCATTCAGCTTTGAAGAGCAACAGAAACACTATAAAGAGGCAGACCACCCCCTTCCCCCCTCAACTTCCCTACGGCTTTTGGCTGTTCTGACTGCAGACCTATTTTTTGTGGAGAGAGGACCCTTGAAATTTGACTATTGTGAGCAAATCCATCTCTTTCCTCTCCTTCCTGCTATGCTAACCCTTTGGAAGCTGGATGTGTATTGTAGCCTCCCTTAACATCTGCTTGGCTGGGGAATGCTAGTCAATGAAAAGTTAACTCTCTTCTGCTGAAGTCCCAAGCATGATGGACTGGGTCTGAGATCCTGTCCACTCCCACCCCAGAAGAAATGTTGGCCCACGGCAGTATTTCACTAGCAAAGGGAATGTCTGCACCATCTTCCTCCTGCGTTCCTTGAAGACAGTGTGTTGCTGATGGTTTAGGAATCATTCTGTAAATTGGAGGAAGTTTGAGGCTGGGGTGAGGAGGAAAGTTGGACATTGCACCTTTCTTTTCATTCCTTCTCCCCTTAGAGAGGCTTCAGCTTGGTGCTGGAAGAAGGAGCTGCTAAACACCTTGTGAACTCTCAAGATCTAGCCACCCTAGAGTGGAGACACTACCCCCTGGCCATGACAATTAAGACTTTGCTCACGTGAATGAGCAAATGCACATTCAGTAGAGTCAGTACAGTTAGCAGTGGCTTCAGGCTACTTCTGCAGCATTTCTGGGACAGGCCTTGGTAGAAAGCCTTTGAAGGGCGAACCTTTGGTGTGCTTCTCTAACCTATGTGCATGCTGCATTGCGGTCTAGGGACACAGGCTGATTAGTCCCTTTGCTGGATAGGTGAGCTGGATCTTTGCTTTCTAGATGAGACTTTTGCAAATTGCCATTGTTTAGAAGATAAAAATAGCCCTAAAAAGAAGGGACATGAGAAACAATTCTGTGTGTCTCTGAACTAGACAAAGAGGTCTGGGGGAAAACAGCTCTTTTTACAGAGCTGGAAGAAATTGCAGCAGGCCTGCAGTTACATCAGGAAAGACTTGTAAATCAGCCCCTGGCCATTCCAGGTTTGGGCCCAGATCTTCCACTGTAGGTTTTGAATAACCCCCACTTCCTTAGTAGGGGGTTGCTCCAGTGCCACAGTGCCCTTCATCTTGGGTTGGAAGGGTTTTAAACAGGCTTTATTAACACCCTCTAAACTTGGAACTTAGCAGGTGGGAAATTTTTTCAAGCTATTCTCATCAACTTCACTTTGCTGGGGAAGCAGTTGCATTGTTTCTAATTGCTTGGGATGCGCTTTTTCCACCAATAAAATTTTGCAAGGAGCTGGGCCAAGAGTCCCCAAAGAGCAGTCCAGAGGGGTTAAATCATTTTGGTGACAGCTAGGACAGACAAGAAGGCAATGGAGTTATAGAGGAAGGGAAAGCTAGTGCTTGGGGAGTACTTAGTGCAGTTTCTGAAGCATGTGGGCAGCAGTGTTGAGCACTCAACTCTCTGGATTTTCATTGAGCATGGAGCCTACATCAGTTCTAAAGAAAGTCTTGGAGCATGTGGTGACACTCCTGGTTTCTGTTTGAAGTATTACTGTAAAATGGTCAGACAGGTTAACAGCTTGACTCTCTGTTCAGGTAACATTGGCAGTGTGACTCACCACTGCAGAGTCATAGAAGTTCTGAGCCACAGTGCTAAGTTCATACCCAACTAATTTTGGCACTACTTTTAAGTCTAGGAGGGCTGTTTTGGATTTCAGGCAGCTTTACATGTCAAACATACTGCAGTCCCAAAGCCAAAGTGGCAAGGGAGCAGAGAGAATCAAAGTTTACATCCCAGACTTTGCTGAGTTGGAAGTTGAGTCTTAATTTTATTTGAACACTGTTCCTCTAGGTTTGGTTATTACAAGGTCTGCAGCATAGTTGCATATCAGCAGGAGTTTATATGACCTTGGCTGCATATTTAATAGTTCTTTTCCTCAGTTTGGTCATCCTCTGTCTTTTACATGTAGGTTACTGTAGAAAACGGGGATCTTACGCCAGCCTCTGAAGGCTGCAGAACTTCCTAATATTTTAATTGCATCTTTGTGGCTGACACCTACAAGGATGCGTTTGATTTTGCTAGTTGAGAGAATTTGAAGAAGTGGAAGACTGGCTGGCCGAACACAGAGACACCACCGCAGCAGATTGTTCTTGGTTATAGCCCTGCTGCTCCATGCTAGTATTCTGTAACTTCTAAGCACTGTTGGGTCTTCCAAGTGGTACCATAGTTCAAACTCTGCTGTATAGAGCTGATTAAGGTACAATTAGTGAGCAACAGCTGAAATCCATTTTAGGCACATGGTAAGAATAGCATCTTGCCCTCAAGAAGAGACTGTGTCTGGGTACTTCATCAGAACTGCAGGAGGGTGAGGATTCCTACCCCACTCCCTGAGTTGTACAAATTCTTTGATAGCTAAGAAGGAAAGTGAAGTTAACTGATCTAACTTGAACTTGAAACTGCCACAGCCTGACATTTAGTGGTGTTTATTGTGCACCCAGGGAGGAGCAATCTGGTAAGTAGATCTCCCAATGTCAGAAGAAAGTGGCTTTTTCAACTCCCTCTTCCTCCCTTAAGATATGTGTGTGTGCTTGTGTGAGTGTGCAAGAGTGCATGTAAGAGAGAGGTTTCAGCATGAAATGGATGGATAATCCCTCAGTTAGGTTGGAGTAATTGCAGAGTTTATAATGAAAAGAACTAGGACATGCCTGCTGAAAGGAGATTAAAAAGGTCTGGAAGTGTCTGTGGGCTTTAAGTGTTGCACATTGCTTTGAAATGAAATGAAATGAAATGAAATGAAATACCTCTGCTGCGTAGAGATCGTCACTTCTGCCACAAATAGGAAGCTCACACTAGCTTTCCCCCTTGGACAATGGGATGGAAAGTACTGGAGGTGTGGGGAATTCAGAGCAGGACAATCCGTTATGGCCACACCGTCTTCTGCTTATGACTCCTTTACAATAGGGCACAGTATTGCTGCAAATATTTCTCATCCTCAGAGGAATACAGCTTGCTTTAAAATATGCAAATAGAAAATGGCATGAAGGAATTTGCAGCAAGGAAACTTCTGCAGCTGTTTCCTCTGGAGCAGCTCCCTCTGCTCCCTGTTAACATTCAGGGACATACACATCCGCTGTTGGAACAGAAGGGTTCAGGTGATAAGTTGACAAGTCTTGATCATCAGAATCATTGAAATGCTTTACACTTGTTTCTAAACTGGAAGCTGACTTGGACCACCATGCCCTACCTACCTGCCTCCTGCTCCTGCTCCAAAGGATCCTTTTTCCTTTTTCTTAGTTTTTTTTGAAAGCTGAAAAAGCTGGAGAGTATCATGTGCATTTCTCCACTCCCAGGTATGTGTTTCCTGCCACTGCCACATGTTCCTTTCTCAGTCTGAACAGAGCTCCAGGCTTGGTTCTGAGGGTTTTTTTGGTATCACAGCTCCAATGAGAAGCATATCTCCAGGTTGGGCTCTTTGCCTAACTTTATTAGCTTCATTTAACACCATTTTAGGTCTGCATTTTGTGGCTGATTATTCCTAAATTCACTTGAGGGAGGCGTATTTGTGTTTGATAAATCACAAATACTAGCAGCTTTTCCTAGCTAGAGAAGTGGACAAGAAGGAGCAGCTAGCCTTCCTACTGCAGGCTTGCTCTTGATTGTGGGAGGAAAAGGAGACAGCCCAAAAGGTTGAAAGCTAGGACAGGGTGTGGGGATGGAGATGTATCTCTACAGAAGTGGGGATGATGCTGAAAATAGGTCTCGTAGCCAGTGTAGTTGACTCAGAACAATAGAGGTTTTCTACGAGAACATCAGAAGTTGTGAGAGGGTAATCCAGTAAGACCTCTAACTGTTGACCTTGTCAGTTGATGCTCCTCTTAGGTTACGCTGGGGGAGAAAGGGATGATCGAAACTACACTTGCCAAGAAAAGAATGAATTTTGCTGGGGTCTCCAAGTGGCATGCATGATGCATCTGACATGCTGAGCCTTGCCCTATTGTTGTTCCCCCTGAAGCAATAAGCAGCAGCTTCCCAAAAGGAGGGGGGAAGAGCAAGTGACCCAGCTGTCCCCAAAGGAGATCTCCGTATGAAATCCCTCCATTCTCCTGCTGGCAAATCCCTACTGGATTGATTGGCATGAGGGACGCATAGTCTATTTGTTCCCACTTTTAATTCAGAGACTCTCAGAAGCAGTAGGTCCCTTGGGTGGGTTCCTTCTCCACAACCCCAGCAGCAGGTTGAGAGGAATGACTGCCTGCTGGGGCTGAGCATTTGGCTTCCCCTCCTTTCGCCCTCACCCCATTTTCTTTTTAAATGAGGTGTAGCCAAACTACTGGCAAATTCACAAAGCGTCTCTGCCAGGGTGAGCCTTAGCACACTGCCAGGTTAAGTCATCCTCTGTCTTGTCAGAAAACTCTTTCCATGACTTTGTGCTTGTTCCCAAAGACCATTGGGTTTCCACATTTATTGTCCAGTGGCTATCCCATGGGAGTTAGCAACACTGGTTAATCCTTAGTGATGTTAACCTGAGTGATGTTAATCAGAGGGATGCTGATGTATGTGGATGTACAACAAGCCTTTTAGGTATTGTAGCCAACTCCGAAATAGGTCCTTTGTTTCAATAGCCTATCACCCTAAATGATATCCTGATTTCTGCTCAAGCAGGAGCCAAGTGCAGCTGTGGCCAGAAAATCAGTATGAAATGCCAGTCTTCATCACAGAGCAGCTC